AAAAAAAGATTGAAGTTATTGAAGTCTCTTAAAAGTCATTTGAATTATCACGTGATATTGATTATTTTGGTACTATTTTATGATGCGTTTATTTTGTCTTTTAATGTATTGATTTTAGTATTTCCCAGATTTCAACAATAAATAAGCACATAAAACTATATAGATCCGGAATTTTACTTGTTCTTCAAAATCCATGGGTGAATTGCGATACGATCGAGAGGCAAGCGTTTCTCAGGATCAGATTGTAATAATGATGAAATGAAATTTTTGGCTTCTGGAGAAATTTGATTTGGTATTTTATAGTCTACTGTAGCAATTTTTTTGTAAGTTTCACCTATATCCTCAACCATAAAAGGGGGTTTCCCAACTAAAAATTCGTAACATAGCACCCCAAGAGCCCATGAATCAATTTTTTGATCATAACCTAAGTTCTCGATGATCATCTCAGGTGCCAGGTAATCAGGTGTACCACAGAATGTCGTACGTCTTTGGTTTAAACCTGATGTATGAATTGCCCATCCAAAATCAGAAACCTTTACTATATCATTATTTGACAACAAAAGATTTTCTGGCTTCATATCTCGATGAATGACTTTTTTCTTTTGTAGGTAGCTAAGAGCAACTGCGATCTGAGATATATAACATGCTGTTTGGCGTTCTGTAAAAGGTCCATAATTTTGAAGACGTTTATACAATTCTCCATTCTCAGCAAATTCTAAAACCAAAAACACGCGATCTTTGTCGTGGAAATATCCATATAAGCGTAATATGTTGGGATGTCTTAAATGTGACTGAATCTCCACTTCACGTCTCAATTGTTCCACCATATTATTTTCTCGAATCTCCTTTTTGAATATTACTTTGATGGCCACCACCTTCATGCTTGTCTTTTCCCTTGCCATATAAACGCGACCAAATCGTCCTTCACCAAGAGAGTCTCCCATTTCAAAATCATCTAAACACCATACCTTGGTCTCTTCTTTTTTTGGAAGATTATCAATAAGTTGTAACTTTGTTGATTTATCAACGACTCTACTATTAACAGTACTCGAGATTTTTTTCACAATTAATGATTTCTGTCGATTTTCTGTTTCATTATTTTTGAAAGATAAATTTTATTTTGATTAAAAATCAAAATAAACAAATTAAACATGCATTTATTTGGTTTGATTTAAGTAAATAATATCTAAAATATTATATAACCACAGTTTTATATAATCACATGATATAATTGGTATAAAATAGCTTCTGAAAGATGACATTCAGAGATTTTTGATGAGAATTTGTATTTGTATAAATTTCATTTCAGTAGAATATTATGAATTTCTTTCATACTAATAGACACATTCATTTATATATTTGTATTAATATTTAAACTTTTTTAAAAGATTAAAAAGATCTTAATAAAATCTTATTTAATTTAGT